TTTGGGAAACACTGTTTTAAAAAGGACCCATATCTATGTTGCAATGATTCCTCATCACAAAAATACCTGGAGTTGAGTTTTGATTCATTCACACGTTTAACACAAACCCTGCTTATTTAAAATGAGTTTTTTTTTCAAATGGAAAACATTCTGCTCCTTGTGATGTCATGAGGTAACACAGGAAGGGCTCTCCTGTGTTTTTAATTTTAGCCCAGGTTAAACAAAAGGTAAAAAGTATCTGTTAACTTGAAACTAAACTAAAAACTACTGCTCCATGACATCGCAAGGTGGAACAGAGCATTTTGAGCTTTGGAGATGTAGACAAAATACTAATAAATAGTTATTCAAGCATGTATGAATGAAACAAAACAAACTCTTGGTATGTTTTTGATGAGCAAACAACATTTTAACATGGCTTAAATCCCACAAGAGTCAGATTTCTGTAATGTAGGACCTTTAATTTACTCTTTCACTTTTGTAATCTCTGCTTTTTGCAATGAATACAGAAAGAATCCAGGTCAGATCCTTTGTCGATTTTGCAAACTTTCATATCTCGCGGCCGGGCAGTTTTTGGAGCGTACAAAGCAACATGATGAAAAGTCCACGGTTAATGAGCTCCTGCTGGGGACAATTCCTGTTAGGATTAAACTGAGACAAAGCTTATTGGCCTCGAACGCAGTCACCAAAACTGTCCAAAATCTATATTAAAACTGTGTGCCAACACTTCAGGCATGCCCTTATACATTGAATTTTTTTACCCATGGTGCATTTTTGGCGAATAGTGTTTCAATTTGGGCCAGTCGAACCAAAGTAATCTGGGCCAAGTCATTAGCGGTTGAAATAAAGCAGCTTTGTTTTGTTGTCATGGTCCACGAAATACTATTTAAGAGCGGGCGAAGGTCCAAACCCTGCCAAAACCAGGACACAGACTCAACAGAGGAGTTTGAGATAGTGACGACACTTCTCTGCTCCACATTAATCACAAAAACAAGTTGATACGAAACAGCCTTGAGTTTGGGTTTATTTGTATATGGGCACGTTTAGGGGAAAAAAAACGCTTTGACAAACTGAATAGATCATCTGATAACAGTAAACCAGGGGTGTTTCTGGTGTTTCTGCCTTGGGAATGTTATTGCTTTTACTGGAATGTTCCACAGTACAAAGTAAATGTTCACAGTCCTACCTGCACCACTGATCAAAAGTTTTAGAACACCACACTTTCTCCAGTTTTTTTATTGTTTACTGCTGACTGTTGACCAAAACGTATTCTAAACTTTTGATTCATTTGATTCGTGTAGCCACCTTTGGCAGATATAACAGATGAACACACTTGTGGCATTCTTTATACAATAGAAATCAAATATTCTGTTGCAGAAGTTGCAGAAGTTTCCATAAATGTGTGGCTCTTGTGGTTTGCTTGGTTTTCGCTCTTCTGTCCACTTCATCCCAAAATCAGCTTGATGGGCTTTAAGTCTGGAGACTGTGCTGGACACTCCATGTTTTCAAGCTTGCCATCTTGTTCTTTTTTCCTGAGGTAGTTTTGACAGAGCTTGGACTTGTGTTTTGTTTTCTTTTATCTTTTTTTTTTTTTAACCCTCTGGCTATTCAGTTCTTACCTTTGTACCATGTCAAGCTCTTCATTGGACTTGCACGACTTGAATTGCAATAAATAACTGGAAAAATTAGGGCATTGTAAAACTTTGGACCGGTAGTTTATATGATGCAAAATTGTCTCTTGTGAGCTTTTAGCCATGTTCTAATGCTGTACCTCCTCAAAAACATACCTGGAGTTGTGTTTTGTTTCTTTCACACATGTTTGAGTAAGCCTAAAGCTCAAAATGTTCTGTTGTTGAAGAGGAGGTTTTGTCACCTTTTACCTTTTGTTCAGTAGAGATTGGCAATTCCAGGGCTGAAATTATCCAAATGATTCTAGTGAAGGTGTATAGAGTTTAAAAACACAGTGGAGCACTTCCTGTATTACCACATGACATCACAAATTGGAACAGAGTGTTTTCTGTTGTGTTAATGAAACAAAACACAACTCTAGATATGTTTGTGATGAAGAAACAACATTATACCATAGATCAGAAAATAGCGTAATATAGGCCCTTTAAATATCTCCAAACAGATGGAGCTAAATGGCCTGGTCAGATCTGTGGAGAGGTGACCCCGCTCACAGTAATAACAGAGGTTCTGAGCAATAAAAACACCTGCAAGAAATAAAAATACCAAATGAAAAATAGAAATGTTTCTCTTACATGGAGCATTCCAGACAAAGCAAAAACATGTCTACAGAGACGAGATGGTGAACTCGCTACACGAAAAGTTGCATAGCACTTAGTCAAAAAGTTTTAATTTGATGCCTGAAATTGTGATTTTGATTAGAGTAGAAGTTTTGATTTGATTTTGTATTAATTTATTCAACTACTAACAGAACAGCTTTTGAAATGTTTGATTTTGAAATCTTCAGGATGACCTTATGTTTCTATTGACTTCACCGCTAACTTTGCCAGAGAATTCTTCCAAGATTAACTTTGTCTTGTATTCATTATCCCTCCTTGTATCTGACATAAATTAAACCAAATTCTGCCCTTTGAATACACTCACTTTCCCTGCAGTAATTCACATTGCGACGTCAACACAAAAAGACAAAATATTATTATTGGAAATTTAAAACTGGGGCCCATTTAGTTCCTGTCAATACGAGAATGACGTAAGATAATGCATTTTGAATAAGCCCCGAGGTGGACGCTAATTTAGCTACAAATTATTATTTCATTTTCTAATGTACAAGTCAGTGTCATTAATTCTGGTCTTTGGTTCAACTTTCTGAAAAAAACTACTACTAATTTAGTCTATAGCACGCCATATGAGACTGTAGCTGTTTGTAGAATGGAATGTCTGCCCCCTAGTGGCTCGAGTCGTGCATTACACAGAAAGGACACAGCTTGATTTCTATTTTAAGTGACCTTTGCGAGTTATTAGCATGGCGCCTGGTTAAAAAGCAAATATATAACAGTTATTATTTTAATTCATATAAAATGCCACTCTAGTAACCAGTCCGTAGTATGTACTTTGATGCTTTGGTACTTACCATTATAGCAGTAGTCTATAGATGCTTTGCAGTGCTCTAGATGTATCTCTATTGGCAGAATGTTCAGCAGTTGCTACGGTGACACAATGCACACATTAGTAAATACAGACAAAAAAATGTATGAAGACTTAAGAAGAAAAAATACAAAATGGATTTAAGCAACACATTTTCAGGAGGTTGTGATGTTATGTAATGTTATGTTATGCGAGAGTGACTTGTTCAGCAGTGACAAGCTCAGCTCAGCTGTTCTAGTTCCTACTAAGGCCCCTTTTACACATACACAGGGATTTTTAAAAACGGAGACATTTCCCTTTGTTTGTACCCATCTTTTACACACAAATGGTGAAAACAAATCTTTCTAAAAACTACGGTTTGGAGTTTGTGTGTAAAGTGAGATAAACAGAGTTTTAGGAGCTGACGTGCCAAAAGTGTGACCAATGTTTACCTTTTACGAAGATGATGATCTGTGAAGAGGCGAGCCTGCTCAGTAATACATGTGTTTCAAGGTATTTTTGAGTAATACAAATGTAATGAAATAAATGCTACAGGTTTGAATCTAATCCAGGTGCAGCCCATAGGCTTGGTGTAGTTATGATGGCGCTCCATGGTGTATTTATGCAAGTTGATGTAAACAAACACTTTTTTGAAAACAATACTATGTGCACGATGTTATTTTGGAAAATGGAGGGAATTTGTTTCTCAACATACCTGGCTATATGTAAAAGTAGCCTAAGTCAGTTCTTTCTGTTCAAATTACATTAAAAGTCTAACAAAGCCTCAGACGGAACAGTGCTGACGGTTAGCATCACACCCCCAGGGAATGTTGATGACATCAGCTGCAAAGTATCAGTAGTATATAACTGATTCTCAACATTTTCCACGGTAGTACATTTACGTTTTTCAGTTGTAATGTTACCTTTCTCTGCACGACATGTTGCTTGAATCTATCTGCTCACTTCCATAGCTGCATTTTACATTACTTTTTTTTTCGTATAGCTTCATTATGATTGTATTTTGTCACGTGAGTGTAGCACATGTGTCTTTGATAGTACTAATGGTAGTAGTAGTAAAGTACCTAATGACTTTCACCTGATCTGACCTGTACTCTGAAGCTTATCAAGAGTCTGACTGCAGAGCTCCACCCAGAGGACCCTCCTGCAGACCTCCACCAGGATTACACTTTTTATCAGTTTATTAGTTCGCGTCTAAATGTTATTAAAAGCTCATTTCAATTTTTGCACTTATTAGCACTTCAAAGATTTTAGGAATTTTTCCACTTACACCCACACATTCTTACACCATCGTACGTAGGCGAGGCAAGTTTAGTGTCATGCCCAGGGACACAAAAACACATAGTTGACCTGTGTGCTAGTACATCTGGCTGCTCAACTAATGATATCTTCATTGAGAGCAGGATTCGAGCCCCAACCTTCAACTCAGAGGACAAGCTCCCTGCCAACTGAGATACTGAGCCCCAGACTTCAAAGACTGTACATGTAATGCTGAGAACATTTCTAAAGGTTTCCTAATTTGAAAACATCTTTGTGTTGTCTCTGTCTCTCTACTCTTCTTGAATAGGAAAATTAGCAGTTTAAAACATGTCGTCACAAACATAAAACATTCAATTATCGACATGTAGCCTACTATTACGTAAATACAAATAACAGTCATTTTGTCCGTGCATGCGTTGCCATAGGCCGTGTGTCTGGTTGAGATTAGGCCCAGATCCGTAATGGTTAAGGTTAAGAAAATAGTTTGGGCTTGTGTTTAGTGGAAAACTATGTCGACTTTAATAACGTTACATTGCTTCCAGAAAACGGTAGAATTTGTTTACTTTTAGAGACCTGTGAATGTACATTTGAAATAATTTGCATGAATCTGTATAAAATTTCTTTAAGTTGCTCATGTTTAATTCCATCATATCAGAATATTGAGGACAACACACAGTACAAAAGCAATACCAGACATTTCATCACAACTCTGAGCCAGGGACAAATTAGCGCAAGTTTCCTTTTCAATACAAATGGATTAGTAATAATACACAATACGAAATACAAGATGGACCGGGGTCGTTCTATGGCACATTTTGTTTTGTTTTTCACACAGGTTTGACACGTTTTACAAAAGGTGCTTGCTTATATCCACAAAGCTTACAAGTTTACAAGGTACAAAAAGTAGGAATCGCAATGCACAGATTCAACAACAGATGGCGCCACAGGGTTTTGCATTGCCTCGATACGTGACTATATACACAATGTTTCCAGATAAGAAAGAATGTTAATTAATATTTCATTACGTGTGAACTATTTGCCAGCAAATACCCACAAGCTATAGGAAATTGTCAAAAATACGCTTTTTGTTTCGTTAAATGAATGAGTGCGGACTGAGATTTAACCAACCGATACGACGACAACCATCAAAATTTGGACACGAAATTTTTGATAAAGGAAATTTTGCTATATCCTATTTGGCAAGTAACAAAGAGGACATGCAGAATCCGAAAATATAGTCAGCCGTGAGGATTTGAGGATTGAACCTGCAAATTTCTCGCTTAGACGTAGCTTCCGCTTCTTTCTTGTTCCTCTGTTGGTAAATATTGATACTTTTGTCCTATATAATGGTTAAACAATAGGTAACTAAAGTAATGTTGGTAGAATATAGAGACATGGACTACAACAACTACCACCAGATGGCGGCAAATGTCCACATTTGTCGTCAAGTTAGTTCCTGATCATTATTTTCTCCACATATTTAGATCCTCTAGTTTACTTTTACAAATTAACCAATTCCTGTCTATTATTCCAATATTATTTTTGCCACAATGAAACGTGACAAGCATAAGTTGACATTAAAATGATAAATATTCCAAAAATACAAAAAGAGAGAGACTTTGGCACATAGTCCTGCATTGGGAGAGGGCAGGAGGAGCAAAGCTAACTTACAGCCTATAGTGCATTATAGTTGAGCAGTTCGTCAAGCACGTTACATTCAATATTAACGACGGAAAAAAGTTTAAAGGGCTTGTGTTTAGGTAGAATGGCAACTTATTTATACTATTTACAGTATATTGTTCATCCTATATTAACATAAGTCTCCCCTCGAAATTCATTATTTTGGACATTATTGAATACATGCATACAATGTACATTTAGCAGCAAATACTATTGTCGATATCCACACATCAGATACCATTATGACCACTTACACTGATAAAAAAGAGCAATGATTTGACCATAGACTGTATAAAGAAGTGGACTAAGGGAGTGTGACGTTACTTATAGCGTTCAGCTCCAGTCAAATGAAGCTCAAGAGGCTCGGAGTTATACGAGTGAATCTGGAGCTCCATATTAGGAATAGGGATTTTAAATAGCAAAATAAAAACACCAGGATCACGTAGAGCAGGTTAATACGAACATTTTACGACCAAAACGAGGCTCACTCAGTTGCAGAGATTAGTGACAGTTTTTCAATGTAAAGTCAACTGGAGCCAGAGTCGATGGAGCCGGAAGCGCCCCCATGCTCACTTCCTATTTGGAAAACAGCAGCTAGTGGCTTTGTTATGTCCATTTATATATACAGTCTATGGATCTGACCCATTTTGTCCAAGGTGAAATTGTGAGTTCTAGCATCTAGCAATCTAAAGGTAGTCTTTCTGGTGGTGTCTCCAAGGAGATATTACTTTTCCTTTAATGCTCCTCAGTATTAGGGTAGTAGGGTCACGTCTAGCCTGATTCACCAGCTGGTTTCACTTCGTCCACAATCTCAGGAATCGTTGCCAACACAGAATATATGGCTATTCACTGACTGGCTGGTGCCCGGACTCACACTTCCAGGGTTCTTGCAAATCATCTTGTATATTCTGATTCCTGACCTAGTCGCTGGAAAGAAATGAAATTGAGCAGAGGCACTAGGTGGCGCCAGCCTGGCTACCTCAGTATACCATTAAAATATCTCCATGGAGACAAGCGGACAAAGCCACTAGACCAGACACATAAGTATTAAGTACTCTGTAATTGAATAAATGCAAGACATATAAGTGCAACACCATACTGCAGAACATTCCAAGACAAAAGAGCGGTGAACAAAGCAACGCGCAAGTGGTCATAATGTTGCTTGACTGTTGTATTGTTCATAAACGTAAAAATTAATAATGTTTTCCTATACTTGAAGTTTGAAAGGAACAAAGTGGTAGAGAGAGCTTTGAGTGTTTGTTGAGGTATTTCAAGTGGGCATTCATTTTAAGCTCTCGTCTCCCAAAAACAAGACTGGAACAATAACAATTTCACATCCATTTTGTACATCGGTGACTAGTGGCTCTTGGATGTCGAAAGTTCGTCAGAGGCAGCAGCTGCACGGGTAAACAACAAAACATGGCACCATGAAAAGCGCATACAAAAAAGGATGGACAGAAGGTGGGTTTTAAACTTGGTGATTGTCAATAGGAATGCTCTGACGAAGGACTTCACACTAAAGTTTCAGGAAGAGTGTCCGCATTGTCCGATGATAAGAGTTGCCAGATTTGCCACCGATCCCTCTGCCAGTCTTGCCACTCTGGGCTTTGCGGCGCCAACTGACCATCCGTACTCGAGTTATTCTGCAGGGGGGAAGGGGGCGGTCTCTGGGGCGTGGCTATCTGCGGCAAGCTCACCGAAGTGGCCAATCGGTGGTGAGCGTTGTAGGGCGGGGGCGATTCTCCGTCACTCACGTGCACCCCTCTTTGCAGTCTGGAGGCAGGGTTTGCGCCCGGGTGCCCGCTGGCCTGTTGCGAGCTGGACGGGCCGCGTACTGATTGGCTGTTGGTGTTGATTGACAGGCGCGGTCGGCCCGCCCCTCCTCCGCACACCCTGGACACGGGCAGGTGGGGTCTGGGGATGGTGGTGGTCGGGGTGGTGGGGGTGGTCGGGTGCTGTCTGCTGTCGCCGTGGAGCCCGTCGAGCCCCTCCTGCGAGCTGCGGGAACTGCCCTCGGACACGTTGCCATGGGAACCTAAGCACACAACGTCAGCAATCAGCAGGAGAGCATGCACTTTAGAGAGAGCTCGCCTACCTTTTGATCATTCATTTAGCTACATGGAAATTGTTTAAACTGTGACATTTAACAGTCCATTATAAATTCCATTACTATTAAGTCATACACAGAATAAAACTAAAATCCCATTAGCATGCCTAAGCTAACTGTAATGCCACACTGTTGACCATTCCAGGCAAAGAAATGACTCCTCCATGAAGACAAGTAGGTGACGAATCTAGAAATGTTGCATAATGCACCTTTAATTACTTTGGTCAGCGAATAAAATTAGATTTAATTTGCTCTCTCACTTTTATTTAATCTAATATTTAATCTTAACCTTATCCAGTATTTTATTTTCTGATTTATGTGCTGATGTTATTAACTTGTCGAGTTGTGTTTAGTTTCATTCAGACATGCTTAACACACAAACGCTGCTCCACTGTGGTTTTAAACTCCATACACCTTCACTAGAATCATTTGGGTGATTTCTGCCCTGGGATTTCCAAAGGTAAGAGGTAGCTCAGGGGTCTGCAACCTGGAGCTCTGGAGCTACCAGTAACTCTCCACCTGCTTCGAAGTAGCTCACCAAAGCATTTATGAATCATACATATTGTGCTGAATGACTCAAAATGTATGAATTACCATTGTAAATGTATAATTTTCATGCCTAACGCTGTGCACTAATAAATGTAATAATAAAGGTTCTAATCTAATAATCTAATATGTAATCATCTAATAATCTAATAATAAAAATCTAATTTAATAATCTAATAAAGGTTTATATTTTACAGGTATCTAACTGTTCCCCAACTCAGCTTTTCCTATGCTAAATTACTTGTGACTGCTAAAATTAGTAGCTCTTTGGCATTTTCTTTTTGTAAAAGTAACTCACTGGAAGAAAAAGGTTAGAGACCCTTGAGGTAGTTGTTAACTTGAAAACTACCACTACATGACATCACAAGGTGGAACAGATCATTCTGAATTTTGGAGTTGCAGACAGACTAATAATAAGTTATTCAAACATGTGTGAATGAAACAAAACCCAACTCCAGGCATGTTTTTGATGACATAACAGTATTATAACTTGGCTTAAAGCTCAGTTTTGTTTAATATAGGACCGTATACCTGTGTATGACTGGTCCTTAAGTGCGGGCTTGAGCGTAGAGTGCCACGTACCCCAAATGTTTGCGTGCTCCTCCGATATCGTCTCTGAAAAATTATAACACAAACATTTAACATTTTAATATGATTACAAAAAATAAATAAATACAAAAGTAGAATGGGACATGGGATTTTAAACCACGGTGTTTTTCCATGTTCATAGTTGGCTTTAGCAACAATTGGAATAAGTAAATCATGAATATAACTAGAACATTTATTTATTTTAAACTATGTCGAAATCTCATCTCCAGGCCTTTTCTGGTCGACCTCATTTTGCAGGTTCTCTCTTGTTTTGTTTTGGGTCTCATTCTATCCATAATGGTGCATTGTGCAACTTTTCTGGTGGAGGGTCCTTCAAATGTTTTTATTGCTTTGTATGGATTGTTTCACAGTATGGCATTAAACCTTTCTATCTTCATGGAGACCAAACCAAGACCAAGTTACAGGTCAGATCTGTGGAGAGGCCACTACACTCACAGTCAGAATCCCTGTTTTTCTCTGTATTTTTGAGCTATAAAACCACTTGTAATTGTGTAAATGTAAAGTAGCTGTTTAATGCCACACTGTGGAACATTCCAGGAAGAGCAATGACCTCTGCACAGAAACAAGCAGGTGATGAATCCCCAACCAGAAAGTTACACAGCGGACCTTTAAACTATGTTGAAATCTTATCATCTCTTAACCTTTTCTTGCAGACCCAATTTTGCATCTGGCCTCTTGTTTAGTTTGAATTGTCTCTCATCCCATCCCTTAAGAACACAAGTAAACAACATTCACTTGTTGTGTGCATGTGTTGGCATACCTGTCTCTCTGTTCCAGTTGTGTCCTTGTCCCGTCAGGCTGTACTGCTCCGGGATCCTGAAGAGGGGCTCGTTTCCAGGACTCCCAGCCTCCCTCCGCTCACTCAGGACCGGGGAGTTGTTGTCATACGGAGAGACTTCCCCACTGGACACTTTGTTGGAGTCACTGGACGATCTCCGCTCATTTAGTGTAAAGGGTTCTTCTGGCTGTAGTAAGTCTGAACTTCTACGAAAACAAAAAACAATATTGTGGTAAAGGTGCTAACTTTTTCTCATTAGGAATCCATCACATTCTTGAATATGGATTCTTAGAATGTTCGATAATTTGACATTAAAGGTGCACTGTGTAACGTTTCTGGTGGAGGGTCTGCCATCTGCTTGTCTCAATGGAGATGTAATTGCTATGTCTGGACTGTTCCGGTATGGCTTTTACTCAATAACATGGGTTGTTATTGACCTAAAAACTTGAATTCTCAGGCTACGTTTATATGATGACCGTCTGAATCGAAGACGCAAAAATGGAGTTGCATTTTCACTTTTTATTCCGCGTTTAGACAAGCGTTTTCGGGTGGAAATCTGCATGCATACGGTGATGCAAAAGTGTGTGGAATTCGATTGGGTATGCATGCCAGATGGCTAGGTGGTGAAATTAGGTGGCGATATATGTGATGTAAACGCATATGCAACGTGAGCAGATCTGATTAGAGTTTTTCGTCTTGGGCAGTGTAGACGGAAACCCTACGGTGGAGCGTATTCAATCTTTCCACTCTGGAGGGTAGTTTCAGAGTTTTACGTTTTTAAGCCCCAAAAACACTGTCACCATCTAAACAAAAGGCACTTCTGATAAAATATTTTTGCTGTTTTTACCCACAAGCATTCTCATTAACAGGCCCTTATTGTGACTGGGCTCTCCTCTACACAGATCTGACATGGAACTTGGCCCTGCAGTGTCCTGTTTTGACTCCATGGAGATGAATAAGTGTAATGCTAGACTGTGGAATGTTCCAGGACAGGCAGTATCTCCATGGAGGCAAGCAGATGATGGACCCTTTGCCAAAGAAGTTATTCAGTGCACTTTTAAACAGATCTTTCTTACATTTATTCAATTACAGATGGTTTTATAGCTCAAAAATACTAAGAGAAACAGGCATTCTGACTGTAAGTGATGTTGCCTCTCCACAGATGTGACCTGTAACTTGGTCTGGTTTGGACTCCATGAAGATAGAAGGGCTTAACGCCATACTGTGACACATTCCGGACAAAGCAATAACATCTCCATGAAGAAAAGCCCAAACCCTCTACCAGAAAAGTTACGCAGTTCACCTTTAGAATGGACCTGAGAGATTGTTTGGGTTATGCAGTAAAGCGTTGGTTACTCACTGTGAGGCTTTCCTCCTCAGCAGATAGTCCACCACATCTGGGTCTGTCTCCAGCAAACTCATTAAGACTTCGTTCTGCAGATCTGGAGGGACCTGGACAACAACATTTAAAAAAGACTGAACTTTAATACAGCAATATGAGGAAAAAGGTCAAGTTTGTGTGTGTGTGTTGGTTTGTTTTGTTTTGCCTGTTTGAATCAACCAGAGACAAAAATACAAAAAAATAAAAATAAACAGAAAAAGAGCAAAACACCTGCACACAAAAAAAAATATTGTCTGTCTCAATATTTATCTAAAATAGTCAATAAAGGGCTGCCAGCTTGCATTAAAACCTGTAGTTTATTTCTCAGTTTAAAAAAATATATATTTTTAGTTTATTTTATTAGTTTAGATAGTATTTTTGACCTTGGCGTAGGAAAAAGTAAGTATTAAAGTATTAAAACTGTATTGGTAGTTATAGTGAACAGAGTAATAGTAGTAGCATTAGTGGTAGTTCAATAAGGAACGGAAACAGATATTTGAGAATTTTTTAAACACATTTTACATTATCACATTATAATGAGTATTGCTTCTGGTACTTTTCATCCGTTGGGAAAAGGCTACACTTATGGTTAGGGTTGGGCATCGCGACAAAAAAAGATATTATTCTTTTTCTCATATTTATAGTTCCTGATTTTCAATTTGATTTAGCTTTGTCTTTTTAAAAACAAATACACGTGGTTTTCGATATCCACTCTCTGAAAATAAACAACACAGATTTATGGCCTTTTAACATGAAAATAGTCATTTTTTCCCCGTCCAAAATCTGAACTCCAAACCACATGTTTTCACTGACAGATCTGGCTGTAGACCTCTCGATCAACTTGACCCAGGCGTATCACTGGCGATGAGAAAAGACTGAAAATTTGATTCATTAATTCATTTCACAGTCCTATTCCTGCATTATACTGTGTAATCTGTGTCTGTATGTGGTATCTGGTTCTCAAGTTTGAAATAAAGTCAATTTTAAAGGTCCTATTTTAAACTAAATTGATTTTGTAAGCTCATAAAAACACCTGAAATTGTGTTTTGTTTCATTCACACATTTGAGTAACACTTTACGGAGTTGGGATCAAGTCATTGTTTTGCAAGTCTCAAGTTTTTGACCTCAAATCCGAGTCAAGTCCCAAGTCAAATGCAGGAAAGTCCAAGTCGAGTTTCAAGTCACTGGCCCATAAGTCCAAGTCAAGTCCAAGTCGTCTGCTTTGAGGTTCAAGTCATTTTAATTCTTTAAACCAAAGTACCAAATACAGCTGAGATTTTTGCAATTTATCTGACTTTTAAGATACTTTGTACTTAAAAAATCATAGTATATTTATATTTGAGAATTTCTACAACTCTTATATATTCCATAAATAATTTTTCGTTTTTAAATGTCTTGACAAGATCTTAGTGTAAATCAGTCAATAGAAAGAATTCAGATTTAAACGTGCTTCTCAGGTCTTCTCAAGTCACAGGCCTCAAGTCCGAGTCAAATCCAAAATCATTGACCTTCAAGTCCAAGTCGAGTCCCAAGTTTTAGTCCATTTTATCAAGTCAAGTCTAAAGTCCTAAAAATAGTGACTCAAGTCTGACTCGAGTCCGATTTGCAAGTCCCCACCTCTGACACTGTCTGTCTACATCTCCAAAGCTCAAAATGCTCTGCTCCACCTTGTGATGTCATGAAGTGGTAGTTTTCAAGTTAGAAGCTACCTTTTACCTTTATTTCAGTTGAGATTGGCAATTCCAGGGCAGAAATCATCCAAATTATTCTAGTGAAGGTGTGTGGAGGTTAAAAACACAGTGGAGCACTTATTATTTATTACCACATGACATCACAAGGTGGAACAGTTTGGAACAGAGTGTTTTCTGTCTAAGAGAAGAACTCTAAACTCTAAATATGCAGGGTTTGTGTGTGAATGAGACAAAACACAACTCCAGGTATGTTTTTGATGAGGAAACAACATAACAGAGAAAATAGGGGACCTTTAATGACATTTGACATCATCTCCAAATGAGCTATTAACTCACTTTGACCTGTTCTGCTCCGGTAACTGTACGAGTATTTTGTGGTTTTGATCTCAAGAATAGCTCCTTTGTTCATCTGAATCAGTGTGGATGAAGAAGATGTTTCAAGAAATCCAAAGTTCAACACGTTACGAAACGACTTTATCCATGTCAAACGCAGAACCTGATCCCGCTGGAGGAGTCATTTCTCACTCACCGCCCCGCTCCAAATTCGCATTAAAGCAAATAAAAGCTCTCCATTGGCTCACTGCAAGAATGTTAGCGTGAGGTGCAGAGGTGATGGCAGCTTACAAAACATTAGGGTTTTGGATTTCGGACCTGAGATGACCCGGACCGGCTGTCTCAACGGTTCAGACATCACAGTCAAAGCAAAGGGAAGGAGAAGCTGATAGAGCTGTAATCCACATACAGGATTTTATGCTTGAATTGTTTGATTTTGGGAAGAATAAGCGAATGTGTCTGTGCAAGATGGGCAGGGCTAGATATGACGAGATAATTCATGTTGAAGTTCATAAAGTAAACATACTGCTTTTTTTTTTTTTTTACTTTGACTTATTACATGAGTTGAAGTGTTATAATATTATAAAATTATCAGACTTCTATTTTGGCCAGAGAAGTGTTTTTTTATGTAGCAAAGTAGGCATCTATACATTTTAAAACAAGCTATATATTTTGGCAGAATGGGAGACAGAGAAGAGAGAAGAGATTTATTTAATTTATTTCAAAGTTGCTAAAAACTATCTTGTTGTTTTTGTTTTGTGTTGTTTTTTCAAAAGTGCTTTGAGTAGTAGACACTTTTAGACCTAAAAATTACTTTTATTTAAATTTTTTTACCACAATAGTTGTTTTTGCAGTAAAGTAGACATCCATAAATTTAAAAATAAACAATATAATTTGACACTCTAAAAGGTTATATTACAAAAAACAACAGAATAGTCAAAATTTAAGTTGCATTGGGAGTGATAAAAGCAAGTATAAGCAACTCCAGTATAACAGAATCACTACTACTAGTACAAAAGGTATAAGTATTAGTAAGAAGTAATAGTGTTTTATTTTGGCAGTGAGAAGAGGTATTTATACTATGCTAAAATGTCATAAAAGTAGTTGTATAGGGAGTGATACAAGCAAGAGTAATTCTAGTATTTGTAATATTAAAAGTGCTAGTATTAGTAAGAGGTAAAAAAGTAGTAGAAGTAGCATTTTGCCTTTCACTCAATACTTCATCAATGTCTTTTCTTTGATGCAGAGTGCTTCTTCATCTGTGACCATAACATTTTGAACTTTATAACTTTATAACACATACAATTTACTCAGGCCTTCTCACTTTTCTTGTTTATAATACCTAACTGAGCCGTCCAAATCTCAGTTTTCCTAACAAAGCCAACCTCATTGTTCTGTACACCCTGCCTCTCGGTGCTTATGAGATGAGCGTTGCAGTGTGGATGAGGAGCTATAGGGGGCGCCGTGGAGTCCAGTGCAGTGGACTCACCATAAAGAGGCTCTGGTAGCTGGCGATCATCCTCTGCAGAACAGCGATGACAGCGGTGCTCTCCTCGGCGCGCGCGGAGCTCTGCACGCTGAACTCTTTGTCCGAGTTCTTCAGTTTGTGTAGGAGGTTCGGTCCAAAGATGGTGGCCAGATTCAAGGAGGTCATCTTGTTGCCTGTGATCTGGAATAGAACCAAACATACAAAAAGTTAGCACCTTTAGGCTGCGGTGAGAGCTCTTATCTTTTGCAATCTGATGAAATTTAAACTCTCTGCCATTTTGTTGTGGGACAAACAAGAACTGTTGAAATCGTGTTGGACTAAAATCAATCAAGGCGTATAAACAGACAGCAAAACTGCACGGCTTGTTTGCAAAGATAAACAGACTATTCTGTTCCCAGAAATTCTTCTCATGCAACCAAGTGAGCATGAAACCTTTGGGTTGAACCACAGCTTTTTTTGCCTGAATGGAAAAACACATACTGATTTTTACTCTAAATCAATAAGAAGTCCATTTTTCTTTATAGATCCACTATGTAACTTTTCTGGTGGATGATCTAATTACCTCCATGTCTCCAAGAAGATGGTATTGGTTTATACCTGGAAAAATGTGCATTCTTAATCTGAGTACGGTTACCTCTCCACAGATCTGACCAGTAACTTGGCTCAGTGGCGTTATCTGCTTTTCTAGAGTGAGACAAGGTGGCGTCTGACAACGCAAACACTGGAGTTGCGGCTTCACAGTCCCACGTTTCTGCTCTGGTATATCTCATTGGAGATCACTATACTAGGAGTGCATTTACATGCACATCAGTATCCCGGTTTTGTCATGGTGCATGTATACACAGCATCCCAGTTACTGTAACATAAAGAGCTGCGCTAAACCTGCACACGTATGATCTCTGAAAACATGAACCATTTCCAACGCGACATGCACACAGAACAGACTCAGCACCAGCACCATCAATATCCCTCTGTCACAGAGAGAATGCACATATCCCACAGGGTCGTGTTGTGTAATAGTAATAATAATGTTGATAATTTTAAGATAAATATGTTGGTGATTATTTTATTTATTTATTTATTTGGAAAGGGACAATGCACATTAACCAACATCTGTGATTAATTATAGTGATTCATCGAAAATCATTAATTCTCCCAACGATCGATTAAGAAAATGACAGCCTAATAATCTCAAGTTACTCATACATGTGTGAATGAAACAAAACACCACTCCGGGTATGTTTTTGTTTTGATGAAGCATCAGCGTTCTAACATGGTTTAAAGCTCACATGAATCAATTTAGTGAAATTTAGGACCTTTTAAATAAACACTTCATCATTTATCACACAAAATATTCTTGGCACTTGGTAGAGGTAACATCACTGGTATTTGTAGACGCTGATATCATGACGTAGTACAGCTGGCGTGCTCAGCGTTCCCCACACTCGTATATACACTGTTCATTCCGGCCTCCCTTCCCAGGTCACTCCCATCCCCTCCCTGTCCCAAAGGAGGAATTGGAATGAGGAGGCCAAAATATACTCAAGTCCTTATAGGTTTAGTCATGCTACACCGTAAAACTAGGTAATTCCAATCACAAAATGCACCTTTTATTTTTTAGGCTGAACCAAATTGTAATAATTTGGAGAAGAATACAAGAAACAAGCTTGTCCAAATGCAGTTGCTTTCATTTTGTATATCTTTTTTTAATACTTGAGTTGAGATTAGATAATTAGAATTGTTGACTTAAGTTAATTAGAGTATGTTATTGCATCATGACAAACAAACATTTTCATTTCACAAACATTTAGGGACAAAAATTTGCATTTAAGACTAGAGATAGGTTGATATATCGCTTGGTTGATATATATAGGGCCGATATTTGCACTTAGCGTAACAACATTAAATGTTCCAGCACAGGTCGATATTTTGTTTTGGCCAATCTGTGTCCTAAAAATGCACACTTTAACACTTTAATATGAAAAAATAACATGACTACACAGCTCTCTCATAGGTGTGTGGTAAAAAGGCTTAGTTTATAGTAAATTTAAACTACATAATTTGTGGAAAATAATAAAAATTTCTCCAACATATTGGCCAAAAAATATCAGCAGGGCTTATCGGCCATCTGTTGCTGTGTATTTTAAGTAATCTGTATTGGCCATGGAAAAAACATACACTTCTATCTCTACTTAAAACATAATTATGCATTTGTATCCAACTATTTGTATTGAGGCAACATATTATATACCAAACATGGTTATAACTTACATTCAAGGTGTATTGTGTAACTTTTCTGGTGTATTTATACGCTTTTCTCCATGGAAATGCTATTGCTTTGTCTGGAATGTTTCACAGTATGTTTCTGTTGTCAAGTTACAGGTCAGATCTGTGGAGAGGCGACGCTGCTCACAGTTAGAATTCATGTTTTTCTAGGTATTTTTGAGCTATAAAACCACCTGTAATTGAAGTAAATGTAACGTAGAGCTGTTTAATGTCATATTGTGGAACATTCCAGACAAAGCAATGGCATGCCTATAGAAACAAGCAGGTGGCGGACCCCCAAACTGAAAATTTACATAGTGCACCTTTAATACTGTTATGTAAGTTCACCACTTGCGTTTTTTACAGTTACAGCTATAGACACACAAACAAGCTGGAGGTGATATGAGTCCATACTGAAGCAGAGGGAGGTGCCAACGGTTTCACATTTGTGTCTATTTCGCACGGACAAAAGTTTTACGCAAGCGAGAGGAGAGAGGGGAGAGGCGGGGAGAGAAGACTGATGAATATACGCCTGAGAGTCAACCACACAACAATTTGTACAGTTAAATCACAAGTCAGGAAGCCACAGCCTCTGCCCCGGGTGTACAGTGATGTTATGTTATGTTATAGGATGCAATCGCAAGGGCCACTGGGATGCCAGCTCTTCCACTTGCATGCCCCACTTATTTTATATAAAGGCGAGCTATGATATAACCTAAAGAGTGGAGTTTAAAAGGCCAATATTACACTATTTTCTGATCTATGTTATAATGTTGTTTCTGCATCACAAACATACCTGGAGTTGTGTTTTGTTTCATTCACACACTTTTAACACACGATTTGTTTAAGCTGAGTTGTTCTCTTAAACAAAAAACACTCTTTTCCACCTTGTGATGGCATGTGGTAATACAGGAAGCGATCCACTTTGTTTGTAACCTCCATACACTTTCACTAGAATCATTTGGATAATTTAAGCCCTGGGATTGCCATTCTCTACTGAACAAAAGGTAAAATGTAGCTGTTAACTTAAAAATTATTGTTTCATGACATCACAAGGTGGAACAGAGCATTTTCAGTTTTGGAGAGATAGACAGACTAAAGCAGGGGTGGCCAAGCTTTTTCCATCAAGAGCCACATATCTAAACCCAGACGAGGCAGAGAGCTGATCGAGGACCATAGACTGGCGCTCAATACAGTGAATAATTGAAATATGTGAATGTTTAACACGACAGAATGAGCCATCAGTCTGTATTCCTGCTAAGATCCTTAAAATCACACACTAAATATTAAACATCAGCCTTATCAAAGAAGATTTTCAAAAAACATGCAGTAAAAAGTCAATTTCTAATCGGTGCCATGTAATTTGGGCCAATTCACCTGCAAGCCTGAGGGCCAAGAAAAATTTGTTTGAGGGCCGCATTTGGTCCACGGGCCATAGTTTGGACATGCCTGGACTAAAGGGTTACTCAAACATGTGTGAATAAATCAAAACACAACTCCAGGTATCTTTTTGAGGAGGTTACATCATTCTAAGAGTTAATTTTGCGTAATATAGGAAATGTACGCTTACATCAGTGCTAAGTGCTGGTCCATGCGATGCTATGCAGATGCTATCCCTTTAATTGCTAGCCAAATATTTGTGCTGGATATGCTTCACGCAGATATGTTTTTAATTATAAACTCAATAACACTTTCTGCAGAACATAAACAATAAATAAATCCATGGAAGTTTGTTTTAGTTCAAATCGCAATGCCAATGTGGTGCCAATGTTTACTAGAATTCTTATAATACTGGAAAGTATCATAATACCGTATGTTCAAATAATATGGTTGGGCTGGTTTGAGCTTACAACACTGGTAGAAAATAGTTTAAAAATATACTGATTTTTGTTCACTCTTGTTTTCTCTATGGTTTGAAACTACTGGTTAAGCTCCATAAATTGTACAATAAACAACAAAGAACAGTTGATAGTTAAGGTCAATTAAATACAATCAATCAATGAACCTGCCCAGGGACTACAGGTGGAAATTAGCACTGGTGCTACAACCTGATGTACAATGCATCTCTACTATTAAGATTAATGTAAATTGAGCACTGTCCCTGTCTCATTAAATAAATAAAATAAAATAAAATAAAAATACTCTCAGTGCATTTATTGTTGTTTCTTTTAAATAAAAGGCACAGACGTTTGGAAATAATCATGATAGCCTAATGATAACTTAACAGAACGCTGTAGTTTCATGAAAGAGATACTAAAATTCCATGACTTTTCCAAAACTTTCATTGAATTTACAAGGCTCCATGACTTTTCCAGGCCTGGAACATTTTCAATTTCTATGACTTTTCAAGGACTTCCATGACTGTGGGAACCCTGTATATAATTTGCATGTATTCATAAGATGTCCTATTTTTAAAAAATGAAGTGGAACTAAACATTAAATGAACTTTTTTTTTCACTATTCTCTTATCTCTTATTATTATACTTCAGCACCCACTGCTCTTTCCAGTAGTTGGTGATATCACGCAAGACTGCCTTGATTGCAGACAGGTATTTCTGATTACAAACGCCAGGCTGCAGGGGCGGAGTTTAAAGTGTGGATATCTGTTAGACCAATCAGAGTTTTCGTTATATCTCTAGACCTCTAGACTCCTCTCGCTCTCTTGTTTAGTCCTTCAGATACTTCCTAGTTTAGCAGCTCTATATGAAATGTGGTTGTGGGAGGGGTTTAGATGTATAATCCAACTTTAACTTAAATACAAATCCCATAGAGGTAAAACTTTTATGAATTAAAACATAAAATTTCTGTATTCTACTTGTAATTGGAAGTTTGGAGTCTATCTCGCAATCCTTAAACCCTTAGAACAGAACATTGTTTCAAGTTATTATGAATTTCTCCCAACTTAGTCAATACACTTGGCTTATTTCCTGTTGAAGCCATAACTTCCTGTACCGTGCGCCTCGTTTGCCCTCACCTCTTGTCCATCTTTGTCCTGCTGGTCGTGGGCGTGGTCGGCGACAGTGGACAGAAACTCCAGCAGGCGATGGAGCGTGTCACTGTTGCATGCTGGGAGAAGGTGGATCAGGAGCTGGGTCACGTTCTGCTGCTCATCTGGCTCCAACACTGCAATAAAAATGTCCAAAACAAAACTGTTACTCAATCTTGTGATATAACCAAAACCAGAAAGCAGATAACAGAAATATGGCGAAAAGACCTACATGTGGTATTAATAAATGCGGTGTAGAGTTCCTTTGTTAGTAATGGATCAGGCAAGTCCCTCAAAAACTCCTTCAAAAGCGCAGCAACGTCGTGGACACTTTGGTCTTCGTCGAGTTGCACGTCAACGCCGCGATCAAACTCCTCGCGTAGCTGGAAAATACAATTCACTTTAACAATTGACAAACATGCACAATTTTAGCAATGGACTTCATTTTATAGACAGAGTACACCCACATCCACAATGCATTTCACTTCCTGCTCGTGTTCCGGAAACTGTGATCAAACTAGTTCGACCAGGGAGGGACGTAATCTGAAGATCTGACCCGTGGGTGGTGTCCAACGTAAGCAGTGCCGAGATGTCATGGTCTATTGTTCATAATGAGGATGGATATGTGCAGGCCGTAGTGGGTCAGCTGCACTTCATTTCGGTTGTTGGACACTTAAAAGACTAAACCAGGACTAGAACTGAACCAAATCAAGGTCACAGCAGGACTAAACTGGGTACTCCAACTGTCTAGGAAATCGAGGAAGTATCACGAAACACGGTGTAGACGCTCTGGTCCGGCAATCATTTGGTTTTGGGGACGAACATCTTTACCAACTTAGTGTAAATAAATAAAATCGTTTATAGAATTTAGAAACATAACATCATTCAACTCTTCAGTCAAATACTTGTAATAAACTGTAGTGTTCCCCGCAGTATTTCATAGTTAAGGCGTTAAGGTGACCGCCTTGACAACAAGTGGCCCCATTCCTCCGAACCACGTAAATCTTCGCAAGAATACGGTCATCACAAAGAATCTACCGCAGCACCGATTGCCTATCCCCAAAACACAATGCAAGGGGTCTCGTCTGGCAACATTTTCATTGGGCAAACATGCTAGTATTTACCAACTGAGAAACTGCTTTCAAATGTATTAGAACTTGTAAATGTCCTATATTGCGCAAAACTGACTCTTGTGGGCTTTGATCCATGCTAGAATGTGGTTACGTCCTCAAAAACATACCTGGAGTTGTGTTTTGTTTCATTCACACATTCTTGAGTAACCTTATATTAATAGTATGCAGCTCAAAATGCTAAAAGTTAACAGCTACCTTTTACCTTTTGTTCAGTAGAGATTGGCAATTCCGGAGCTGAAATCATCACAAATGATTCTCGTGTTTCCTGTGTGACAGCAAAACTAAATATGCAGGATTTGTGTGTCAAACAAGCGTGAATGAAACAAAACAACTCTGGGCATGTTTTTGATGAGGGAACAACATAACACTGATCAGAAAACAGAGTAATATGGATATTTTTATGACAAAAACATCTCACATTTATTGACTGTTTGTTGAGACTGTTCTCAAACCTTACCTGCCGTACTCTTTTCTTTGAGCTCCCCACTCTGAAGATCCCAACCGTCTGCAGTCCTGCGTGGGCACAACACATCACATATTCACTGTCGTCATACTCAAAGTGCACCAGGCGCCTCTAGCACCTGTTGCCGTAGTAACAAAGGCTTATGCAGATCACCCCATCGCCGGCGCACTGTAGATTCTTACCATATTTTTCTAAGTGCTGGCAACAGCTGTCCACCACCCGGGGCACCTGTCTGTAGATGGGGTTCAAACTCAGCCTTTTGTCTCTGTGTTTCTCTTTTTTGTTTTGAGTTTCGGCGGGAAGAGAAAGTTGTAGGGCTTCTAGCAGTCGGGATTGGTTGTCGTCCAAGTCGGTGATGGAGTCCACAGACATGCCGCCCTAAAGGAGTTAATAAAAAAGTACACTGTTATTGGGATGAAGTAAAAGTGAAGTCATAGGAAGTGTATTTTGGGATAGGAGGTACCCTTCGGCGGGCTTTGGGGGCGGCCTCGGGGGTGTTGGGGGAGGTGGATTCGTTGGCCGTTTCGGACGTGGAGCTCAGGGAGGAGTTGCTGGACGATAGCTCCTTGTTGGATGGACGTTTAGTGGCAAACTGCAAATAATAAATAATCAGTTAGGTCCACACAGTCAAATTAATTAGGATGAATTATTGTCGTTGCAATAGGTCAGAAGAGTAGCCAGATATGTAGTACTTAACAATGTACTCAAGTAAGACTAAATGTAAGAGTAACTATCTGGGTTTAATTTCAGGGATGCACTGATCCAGCTTTGTCAGTTCTGATACAGATTCTGATAATATCGCTTTAACTATCTGCCGATATCAACCGATACCAGAGCACAGAGTCCTGCATCAGGTCAGGCACCCATGGGTATGGGCAAATAGTTACTGAAACGGGTGGGTTTTAACATTCTGGTGTAGTCCAGGACTACACCGGGACTAAATTTGGACTTAAGAGAGAGAGAGAACCCCGAGCCCGTGGAGCAGGGTGTCCACAAACCGCGATTGGGCGAAGACGGCGCAGGTTTAACTTTGATATAATCACGGGTTAACGGGAGAGTGCGGTGCTGTACTGCGCTGGTGCGAGCGGGTGTGGGTCTCCAAAAATGGACCCGTGAAGGACTCTGCCAGAGCAGAGACTGAAACTGCATTAGTTTCCTTTAAACAAAAATAAAATAAGACAAAACTGATCCAAATGTGTTATGCAGCTGTTATTTTTCTCTCTCGTAACTACAGAGCAACTATGCATAAATAAAAGTTGAAACATTGCGAGACTTTCTGGTCCAACTACGACGAGTAAATAGTCTTATTATATCAATTTATATGTCCAACCAAAGGACAAAACATGAAACATTGCACAGAATGTTGTGGCCTATTTTCAAAGGGTGGATCACAAAAATGAGAAAACTAAATCATATCTGAATAAGCTGTGCAAGAAACACAAATGTTCAAATTGTTTCATTTTGTAATGCTGAAACTCTCTGCACTCGGCAACATTGTAAAAAGAGTCAAGGGTCAAAACAAGTATGTTATCTGAAAACTCTATGAGAAAATATCTAGACTTACATTGGTTTAAAAAGAATGTGTCATATTTAGTCACATCGTAAGTCACATAATCTTGCATGGTGCACAACTGATACCTGTATAATGGATGAGACGAGGTCGGAGGAGTCCTTGTGCTCCTCTCGGGGTGGGGGGTTGGGCCTGTACCCATCCTGCCTCTGTCGGTGGGCTCTGTCGTTGGCTATGACCTGAGACAGAGGTATGCTGAAGGCCTGGGGAATGCACTCTACAAAACACACACAGAGAGACACCATAAAACACTTCAAATCGTGCATGGTAAAAACGGCATAAGGTAGCGTTTAAAGTTTAAAGTACTGATGACAGGTTTTCATGTTTTTCTAATGAGTCATTCGTTTTGGTGGGATAGTACCTGCAGTAAATAGTTATCAGAGTTTTACATCTGTCAAGCTGTAATTCCTCTGTCTTTGTAATCCAAAATCAGGGACAAATTACGCACAAGAAACCACATTTTCTGGCAGTCTAAAGATGTATTTAAGAAAATAATTGTGTTGTCATATATTTTATTTGTCAAATCATAACTATGGCTATAAATTAAGCGATCTGTGCCATTGTTTTTGGTAATGGTTGCTAGGTAAAAGTTATGAAATTACTTCTACTTATGTAACATCTGCTGCCCATGTCCAACCAGGATGTAAAGCTTAATAATTAAAATGGTAAAACTGGAGAAAACAATGAGTTTTAGTTAATAATTAAAAATCTGTTATAATATATAAGTTGTTTCCTCATCTCAAACATACCTGGAGTTGTATTTTGTTTAATTTATACATGTTAAGCACACAAACCTTGTATGTTTAAGCTGAGCTCTTCTCACAAACAGAAAACACTTTTCCACCTTCTGATGTAATGTAGTAGAACACTAAGTGCTCCACTGTGTTTTTAAACTCCATACACCTTCACTAGAATCATTTGGATGATTTCACTCTACTGAACAAAAGGTAAAATGTAGCTGTTAACTTAAAAATGACCATTTCATAACATCACAAGGTGGAAGAGAGCATTTTAAGCTTTGGAGATGTACAGACTAATAATTAGGGGTGTGCAAAAATATCAAAATATTGATATATTGTATCGTTTAATGTGATGATACTGTCTCAATATCGTGAGCTGCTGTATCAATATACCCCCAAGAGTATTATTTGGTATATTTTACAAAATTATTTTGTTACAGCGCTACAGTTTTGTTACTTTTTTAGATGAAGGAAACTTGTTTATGCGACACATTTGACATTTTCACTGTTTTGATGATTAAAATGTTGGTGTTTCATATTCACTTTGCACAAGAAGTGGTTTAACAAAGACTTTTAGTATTCAGCCATGATTTAGCCTTTATTTTTTATTGAGCCGTATTGAAATATATCGTATCGAATTGAAAATGCACTGTATTGAGATATGTATCATTCCGTGGACTATGTATCGAGGTATGTATTGTATCGGCAACTTCTTAATGGTACCCAGCCCTACTAATAATAAAGCATTACTCAACTCTGTGAAAATGAAACAAAACACAACTCCCCAGGTAAGTTTTGGATGAAGTAACCACATTATAACAAGGCTAAAAGCTCACAAGAGTCCATTTGGTGTAATATAAGACCTTTAATAAGTAAAGGTCAAATAGAGAAAACCAGATTTCTTTAATAATGTTATTTTTCCTGTTTTAGTGAAGTGAGTAGTCTAACCTGCCATACGCACTTTAAATCCCTGTATATAACCCAGTGAGTTTTGTGGCTGAACTTTTACACACAATGGAAGTGCGTCAAAGCAGGTGTTCACACTTATAAAAACTCTTGGTCTAATGGAAGCATCTGTTTTCCAAAATAAGACATCAGAAGATATAGTGGATTTGGAAAACCACTAATAGCACAGGCCTCTGACCAGTTTAATGGCTCCAGACCACATCTAATGCAGGCTGTGTGTCTCACTGCTCACCACTTACATACAACATGGGCCAAATTAGCATGTTGTGTTTAGAACTTCAACGTACACTGCAGATTTGGTATACACAATGTTGGGACACTGTTGATAAACTGAAAGCTAAAGAATAAAATGATTTGAATGCTGCACTTTTGAAAAACTATGGTCATTGAAATTGCTGTAAATACTCATAATCAAGTATTAACCTAAAGTAGATTGGGTGGTTTTCAGTATTTTTGTTTGGTTGTTTGTTTGGTTGGTTGTTTTTTGTTTGTTTGTTTGTTTGTTTGTTTTTGGGGCATTTTTTCCTCTTTTTTCCTTTTTTAAATGTATTTGTTTATTTATTTTATTTTTTTTTTTTTTGTGTGTGTTTTTCTTTTGTTTTCCTTTCTTTATTTTCCTTTCTTTAGTTACTTTTTAAACAAAAAATGGCTGTTTTTTAGTTTTAGTTTTTTTATTATTATTGTTTTTTATTTATTTATTTATTTATTGACTTATTCATAGTTGAAAATGTGCCAAATCAGTCATCATAGTGCATTTCCTGAGTACTCACCAAATTGTAGATTATTAGAATAAATTTGAAATTTAGATAAAATTGAAATAAATAGAAATTTAGATAAAATTTAGATAGATATTATTTTAAATTAATTATTTGAATGCATTTGAATGGAAAGACCCAAATAACATCTTCAATTGTTTATATTTTATTGTAATTTTTATTTATTTTTTTTACCCAGACAGCACAAAATGAACTGACTTGGCATCCCACCATGTTATCGTTCTAACTTTCTCTCTTAGCCATAATTAAACCCAGACTGTACTCCTCTGTACTGACTGCAGCTATGAAGTCATGTTTGCGGCCTTCTAAAGACTATATTTGATTCATTTTATGTGCAGTGTCCGAGCAGCTGTGCCGGACAGATTCCTCCACCGCAAGTGCAGAGTTCACGGACAAAGTGACCACAACTGCCCGGGACACAGTGAATTCTCTCCCTCTTATGTAACCGCTACTTCCACCATCACATCATGTACATTTCTTCTATACGAAAACACGCCACACGCATCAAGATCCACATAAATCTAAGTGTTCCCCAGACACAGCCCTGCAGTCTCAACTTTCCCCTACTTTTGTTTAACTGCTTCTAATGCGACTGAGTGCGTATAAGTACAGGAAGGGTATGGACATAGTAATACAAATATAGAAGAAGCTGTAAACTTTTACTTTAGGGGAAGGAAAAGAGGCAATTCATTTAAACGTCTTCTTTTAAATGTGTAATATGTGACCTTTTTCTGGTGGAAGCTGCAGCCTGTTTGTCTCCATGGTGATGTAATTGCTTTGCTTGGAATGTCGCATAGTATGGCATTAAACTATCTAAAGGGAGACAAACAGGGGATTATACCAGGCCAATGCAATTACAGGTCAGCTCTATGGAGAGCTGACCCCACTCACAGTAAGAATGCATGATCAGCCAGATAGAAAAGCCATACTGTGTAATATAACAAAAGCTGTGTAGTGCAGATATAGGATTTTCCAAGGGCCTAGGTTTGCATAGGGACGGTATGGATAAAAAAGTCCCTACCAATATTTGTCATTTTTATTTTATTAAACAAAAATATAAATTTATTCTGATATTTCTCCAAACTCAAGAGTATTAATTTTCACGCTTTAGTTCACATTTTGTTTATTAGACATTCTGAGATGTGTTCAGTGATATGATAACAGGGTTACCCCTGCCACTATTTCATTGGCTACAACAGAGTGAGTCATTAGTGGTAGCCAGACTGGTGCCACCTAGTGCCTCTGCTCAATTTCATTTCTCTCCAGCAAGTAGGTCAGGAATCGGAATACACTTGACAGTTTGTAAGAACCCCAGAAGTACGAGTGCTGGCACCAGCCAATCAGTGAAGCCATACATTCTGCATTGGCAATAATTCCCAAGATTGAGAATTTAAAGCCAGAACAAAGAGAATGTTTGGTGAATTTTATCAAGGGGAAAGACGTTATTACTCTTCTTACATACGTCACAACCAAATAGCAGTAATTGGTTAAATTTAAAAAAGTACCTGCCTACCGTTGAGCGAACGAATTCTAATGCTGCAAGGTTTCTACGAAGTGAAACCGGCTGATGAATCAGGCTAAATTAGTGGAGCCAGATCACCTAAATTGGGATAGCGGCAGGACAGAGCCAGCACCAGAAGTTGGCAGCTTGAGCAGGCGTGAGTGAAGACGTTGTGCACCAAACTTTGAAAAACTTTTCAAAAGGAACTTACTTGGCTTTATCTTCAACTAAACTTGCCTTATAATGAGTCACGTGGAAAACGAGCGACTATCACCACAAGTGCACCTCCCAAACGGAGCCCTACTCGTGCGCTGTCAGCAGCCGGACTCTACTGACAATATTCCATGGAAAAATGTATGGATATTGCCTCACAAATATCTCAACACCAACAAGCAAAGGAAAATCTGCTGCAAACTTAACTTAACGTCCGTGTTATCCACTAAAGAATCATCTTAGAAGGGCAATGGACATGATACATTTTGCGAACTGAAAAATAAAACCACTTTTAACTTGTTTGGGACCTGCCCAGACTTATTCATAAAACATATACACAACTTCTTATCCCATTTTACCCTTTCTTAGAAGGATGTGCTGTTTGGTTTTTGCAGTGTGCATCATATGAAAAGTAAACAATATTATTTATATGTTAGTTGATAATGTCCCCACCAAAGCTGAGACCAAACCTACGCCCTTGGGACTGGCACAAATACTACAGTGTTTGTGAACATTGAACACTCTAACTTGAGAAATGATGTAAAAAATATTTGAGTTACAGTTCTCGTTACATGAATTTTAATTCAAGTTAATCTGTACAAAATTAAAGCAATTTGGGCCAAGACCTATTAGAAAACCCCAGCATTTTCTTAGCAAAATCAAATGTTTTAAATCTGAACACTGACCTAGTTCTGGACAGAAAATTAAACTTTGAATCTTCACAGTTTTTTCACAGTTACACAGGGCCCACCACGCTGCAGGGGTACACTCTTGACTATCATAAGCTCTTCAGCCCACCATAATAACGCAGTCCCATTTATCACCGCAGATGGGGGTTATTTTAGTGAAGAAATCGCAAGCAACGTCGAATTTGTTTATATCTGCTGTCTTTGCTGTTTGGGCCAAATATGCTTTGCTTAGTGCGGCGAGGGAGAGCTGGTCCATAGAAGGAGTCCAGCTAAATATAAAGTTTTCAGGGCATGTAAACACTGGATTGTTGTCTTAGCCTCCACCTGCCTTGAGGATACGAACTGAAGACTTCCAGTGATATTACGAAGAAGAAGGGACCGAGGAAAAGACAGCTCCTCATACCTTTATCTTTGCTCTTTTCCTTGGCGAGAGAGTCCAGCTTCCTCCTCAGAGACTTTTTCCGCTTCTGCCCATCTGAAAAGAGAAATTACAGTTTATAGTTTTTTTATTTATTTTGTGTATTAGTCTTTACCAGCCAAAAACAGTTGATGCTAATGGTTCTGGTTGCCATGGGTTTGGTGCTTGGTGGATCATAGTTTCTTGCCAGCTAAGCATCTCCAAGTGACTGCATGTGAAAATTATTCCAGTACTGGCAAAATACTAACACATAATAAAACAGGGAATCAAATAAGCCAGCATGAAGTACAATCTGTGCAAAATGGCATTAAAAAAAGCATGATAACAAATAATGTTATTGCGAGTGAGTGAGCGAAAGTATAGGCCAATGTTATAATCTCAATTTGTTTTAAGGGCATATTTTGATTTGCAGGGAGTGTTTCACAGTACGGACACCTATTGCCTCTGCTCAATTTCATTTCTCTACAGCAACTAGGTCAGGAATCAGAATACACTAGACGGTTTGCAAGAACTCTGGAAGTGCAAGTTCGGGCACCAGGCAATCAGCGATTCTGTGTTGGCAACAATTCCTGAGATCGAGGATTTAAAGCCGAAACAAAGAGAATGTTTGGTGAACTTTATCAATGGGAAAAACGTTATTGTCCTTATTCCTACCATCGAGCAAACAAATCCTAAAGCTGCGAGGTCAGATGCAGTGAAACTGGCTGATGAATCAGGCTAGATAAAGTTATCCATCTCCACTGAAACAGCACACCAGGTCAAGTTACAAGTAGAGGTCTGTGCAGGACACAACTTGCAAAGAACTGTAATTTTTATTCCCACTCCTGCCCACATCTGCGATATTTTGTCCCACTCCCGCCTGCAAATCCCACAAGATGAGGACGTTCGCTTTCTTAAGCTCTATCAAACACAGAGAAGCGGAAAGAAATTGTCTAAAATGTGCGCGGGATTATACCACATCTGCAAATAAATTTAGGCTGCTTAAAATGTTTTTCTAAATGCCAAATAAAATATCCAGCACAAATTATGTATGACAGGCATACATGAATCATTTGTATATTTTGCTTTGCACTCATATTTAGTTTGCGGGACTGCAGTTTATCATCGCACCCACCTGCTCCCGCAATGAGCTTGTGGCTGCACTGTTTTGCCTCGAGACCAGCAGTGCAGGGCTCTAGTTACAAGTCAGATCTGTGGAGAGGCAACCCTACTCACAGTAATATTCCATGTTTTTTTTGTGAATTTTTTAGTCAGTCTGCACCTCAAAGCTCGAAATGCCCTGTTGCACCTTGCGATGTCATGAAGCAGTAGTTCTCGAGTTATTAAGTCTAACTAAACGTCAAAGGTACAGAAGCGGACTATACTTTTTACGTTTAGTTCAGAAGAGACTGGCAATTCCAGAGCTGAAATCATCCAAATTATTCTAGGGAAGGTGTATGGAGTTTAAAAACACAGTAGAGCTGTGTAGAACATACAGAAAATACAACTCCAGGTAAGTTTGTGATGAGGAAACAACAATATAACAGGTCAGAAAACAGCGTAATATGGGCCCTTTAAAGTCATACCATGTAACATTATTTATTTTTGTAAGATCTCTTTTATTTTGCATCACTTCCTATTGTATAATTTCCATCAACACTGGCTCTGACCACTTTCTTTTGCAAACCCATTCCCACCATCATCTGATTGTTGTAGCTTCAAATTTCACAGTTTTTTTTTTTCTCAAGTTTTGCGCTCGAAACTTCCAGATGTTCTTTTCAGCTGCTCTGCATAAGTCACTCAAAGGGGCTTTTGGAAATCTTACCCCCCCGTCCCACATCGGCCGCTCTGGTCAGTACGGGACCTTACGTCAGGTTGCCGGTTCAATTCCTCTGTGATCCTGCCTTAGCTTTTTTTGACCTTTATCATCAAGCGAGGGCGAGAACTAGAGGTGTTTGACAGTGAAAAGGTGGGATCTGCGGGGTTAGGGTGAAGGATGTAGACAGAGAGAAAGCAGATGTGGTGATGGGGGGATGACGGAGAGAGGGAGGGAGGGAGAGAAAGAGACAGAGAGAGGGAGGGAGAGAGACAGAGAGAAAGGAGGGATTGAGGGAGAGAGAGAGAAAGAGAGAGGGAGATAAAGAGACAGAGAGGGGGTAGAGAGAGAGAGGAGTGGGGAGAGGAGAGAGAAAGAGAGAGAAGGTAGATAAAGAGAGGAGTAAGAGAAAGAGGGAAAAAGAGAGGAGGGAGAGGAACAAAGAGAGAGGAGAGAGAGAGAAAGACAGGGGGAGAGGGACGGAAAGAGTGAGAGGAGAGAGACAGAGAGAGAGGGCAGGAGATAAAGAGACAGAGAGGGGTAGAGAGAGGGGGGTGGGAAGAGGAGAGAGACAGGAGGGAGAGTGAGAGAGAAAGAAAGAAAGAGAGAAGGGAGAGAGGGAGAGAAAGAAACAGAGAGAATGAGAGAGGGAGGAGAAAGAGAGAGAGGAGGGAGCGAAGAGAAAGGAACAAAGAGCGAAGAGGGAGAGAGAGAAAGAGACTAAGGAGAAAGAGAGGGAAATAAAAAGATAAAAAGGGAGAGTAAACAGACAGAGAGAGGGGGTAAGGAAAGGAGGGAAAGAAAGTGAGAAAGAAAGAAAAAGAGAAAGGAGATACAGAGTAGTAAAGTAGGAGGAGGATGAGAGAGGGAGAAGAGCTAGAGGGAAGGAGAGAAGGGAGAGAAAGAGAGAGAGAGGAGAGAGAGGGAGAGGAACAAAGAGAGAGAGGGGGGAGAAAGAGGGAAAAGGAGAGAGGAGGGAGAGGGAGAGAGAGAAAGGGAGAGAAGAGAAAGAAAGAGGGGGAGAGAGGAGGAGAGAGAGGGAGGGAGAAAGAGGGAAAAGGAGAGAGGAGGGAGAGGGAGATAAACAGACACAGAGGGGGTGGGGAAAGGAGGGAGAGAGAGAAAGGGAGGAGATAGAAAGAAAGAGGGGGAGAGAGAGAGGAGAGAGAGGAGGGAGAAGGAGACAGAGACATAAGAAGGGAGATAAATAGACAGACAGGTGAGTAGAGAGAGAGAGGAGTGAGAGAGGGAGAGGAAGAAAGAGAGAGAATGAGAGAGGGAGGAGAGAGGGGCAGGGAGACAGAGGGAGGAGAGAGAGAGAGAGAGAGAGAAGAGGGAGAGGCACCGATAGGAAATGGTTTAGATTTTTGACAGACGGATCTCAAAGCCGCGCGGAAATCCCCAAGACCTCCAAACCTTCCCAGTTCAACTAGAGCCAAGAGAATATTATCAACACACAGGGCCAGAGGTGGAACATGACTACACCATCACATTTTCATTACAGATGTTCTCAAACACATACTTTATCTTTATTATAGGATTTACATGTTTGACAAGTCTACATTATTAAAAAGGCTGGAGGTATTTTGACCCTAGAGTGGTACAGGATCAGAAAAGACGGGGTAATAGCAGCAAGATAATTCTGTATTTCATATAATTACGTAACTGTAGTAGTTGCGGTAGTAGTAATAGTAGTAGAAGTAGCAGTAGTAGTAGATACAAAATTTCAAGTTTAGAATCCAGAGGCCGATTGATAGTTTTGGGTCAATATGTAGAGCAGATTTTGATCATTTTTTTGTCTAATTATTAGGGGTGTGCAAAAATATTGAAATATCGTTATATCGAATTGTTTAATTTGATGATACAGTATCGATATCGTGGGCTGCTGTATCGATATATCGCCACGAGTAATTGTTGGTATATTTTACTAAATTATTTTGTGTAAGAGCTGCAAAAGTGCTGACATTTTCACTGTTTTGATGAGTAAAAATATGAGAACTTCGCACATAAGTTACTTGAGATGGGTATGTTGGAGGAGAGGGAGCATTCCAAGAAAATAGAGAAAAATCCCGCACAGTCTTACTTGCAAATTGTGAGATTTATTAGGACAAACCGTGCAACGTTTCGACACTGTTTTGATGAGTAAAATTGGTGTTTTTCATATAAACTTAGTAGATTTAGTAAACGTTTAGTATCACAGCCATGATTTAGCCTTTTTTTTTACACTGAACTGTATCAAATCTATGTGAAATATATTATATCAAATTGTATCTTACAGAATCAAAAGTTCACTGTATCAAAAAGCATATTGTATCATGGCCTATGTATCGATATATGTATCGTATTGTAAATCGGATAAGAGCGCACCTTCTTCTCACTTCAGTATAAAACCGGGTAAAGAAGCAACAGCAGATGGTTTGTAAACACATGTAAAGCAAACTTCCGCTTTATGTACAATAAAGTTTTATCTTATCTTATAAAGTTTTTCTTTTATTGTTTTACAGGCCAATGCATTATGATAGAGTGTAATATAATTGTACTAAAATGATATGTTACAATAGCCTGTCTGTATAATGTTCTTGAGCCTTAAAGATGCGCTGTTTAACTGTCGGGGTGGAGGACCTGTCACCATGGAGATGTTGTTGCTTTGCCTGGAATTTTTCATAGCATGTAAACATGCCTCTAGTCATGCCGTGATGAACTGAGATTGTGCCACGTTGGGGTTTTCCAGAAAAAAAAATTTGAGTGACAACGGGACGCATTTTGTGGCCAGGATAGTAGAAGAGGTGGGCCAGTTTTTAGGAACTGATCTCCGCAGACACTCTGCATATGACCCCGAGTCTGCAGACATGGTAGAACAAGAGAACGGTACTCTCAAACGGTCCAATCTGTGGAGAGGCGAGCCCACTTATAGTAGAATGCATATTTTTTTCATGATTTTAGTGGGAAAAAAAAAAAACATCTATAATTAAATAATAAGCAAGTTAATGCCAAAATGGGGTATATTCCAGGGAAAGCAACCCCCCAAGCATATCTCCTTGGACATTGAAAATTAATAATTAACTTCAAAAACATCTCATTCTTTGCCATTAGCGTTACTTTGTTTCTTTGAACAGAGCTAATCCTTGTGTTATAGGGTCAAAACACCTACACAACTAAACTGTAAGGGTAAGAGAACCCTCAGAAATTACAGTACTGCTTCCAGTTCAAAAAAGCAGAAGAATAAAAATATGCATAATAGTAAAAAAAAGAAAAGAAAAAAGTGTGATAGTTAGATAGCCCCTTTAAACTGTCTCCTAACTTTTCCACTCAGTTAAAACATCACCCTAACAACACATGGCGACCGAATGTGTCTCTGGAATCTATAAGCAGTCAGTATTAAATCATGGAGGCAGTGCTTTAACCTGAAGAAGGAATGTAAGACCTGCAGACACATAGTGCAACTGCATAGAGAATAATGGACTAAAAGTGGAGACATTTGAACCCGAGCAGCAAGCTAGCCATCACGTTCAATATTTCAGAGCAGCTTATTGCTATTTTAACTGTGAGTTTCCACATGAGGTCATCCGTAAGTGTGGAGTGGGTTTATTCTGCAGACCCAAAACACTGGAATATTGTGGCAAGCGTTTGAATCATTCAGTTGGAGTATTTGTTTTACAGCACACCAGAGAAATGTTAAGTCTGATACAAAAATACAACTGCCATAATGTTATATTTGCCATGAACATTTCAATATTCCGAAATTATGGTGGTTTTACTTCCATAAAACAAGTAAAATAAGAAGCCCTGCCACCTACTGTCTCCATGGAGATCGCAATGTTCCACAGTATGGCATTAAAGGTCTTATATTATGCTAAATTGACTCTTGTGAGCTTTAGTCCATGTTATAATGTTGTTACCTCATCACAAACAGACCTGAAGTTGTGTTTTATTTCATTCATACGTCTTTGATTAACTCTTTATTATTAGTGAGTCTACATCTTTAAAGCTCAAAATGCTCTGTTCCACTTTGTGATGTCATGCAGTTTTCAAGTTAATAGCTGCCTTTTACCTTTAGTTCAGTAGAGATTGGCAATTTCAAGGCTTAAATTATCCAAATGATTCTAGTGAAGGTGTGTGGACTTTAAAAACACAGTGGAGCATTCCTGTATTACCACATGACATCACAAGGTGGAACAAAGTATTTTCTGTTTGAAAGAAGAACTCAGCCTAAACTTGCAGGGTTTGTATGTGAGATGAATGAAACAAAACACAACTCCAGGAACGTTTTTGGTGAGAAAACATAAATTACACACTGGGGGAAAAAAAACTATATCTTGTTAAATTAAAATTACTGAATTTAAGAATATTTTACTTTATTTGAGTAGATTCAACTTGACAAGTAAAATGATCTACAGGTGGAATAAGTTGTTTTTCTTATTTTCAGTGTAAGAAGATGTATTTTCATATTTTAAGGACAAAAAGTCTTGTTCCACTGGCAGAACATTTTACTTTTCAAGTGAAATTGACTCAAAATCAAGCTAAAAACTTGACACAAGACATCTTTACTTGACTAGATTTAGTTTTTGCAGTTGATCAGAAAATACCCTTATATGGGCCCTTTTATGTACCTCCTGCCACTAAGTTACAAGTCAGATCTGTGGAGAGGCTGCCCGATTACAGTAGACATGTTTTTATGGTATATTTGAGCAATAAAGACATCTGTAATTTAACTGATGCAAGCTCAGATAAGCTTAATGCAGTACTGTGGAACATTTTAGGCGACGCAGTAACATAGCGTACCTATTAAACAATCCTGCTTGCTTTTTTTACTGTCCTTGGATTCAATTCTCTTGCAAATTTCCATCTGCGATATGTATTCTAGACATCTAGTCATCTTTAGACTGTCCTTAAACATTTCACCACCACGCCGTAAAAAGTACATTTCCATACTGCATTATCTCATCTTATGTCAGACTAGGCTCAGCTCCAGTCTGAGTGAAAAGAACCACATTTAAGGACCTACCACCACTACTATATATCAGGAAGCTCCCAGTATCACTCTGAAGGACAGTTTACATTCAGACTCCTCTCCCCACTTTCTCTAATGGAAGACACCAGGATATGCACTTTTTATAGGATGTGCAAAAGTAGCCAAAACATATACACAGCCAGTAGGTTAAGCCTCAGTGAAGTTGTGTAGTCAAAGTTATGTAATGCGTGTATGGGGGTTGCCGCTCCACCGATCTGACCTGTTACTTGGTCCCATTTGGTCTTCATGAAAATAGAAACGTTTACAGTGATCTCTCGTTTATCACAGGGGTTATGTTCTAAAAGTAACCCACGATAGGTGAAATCCACGACTTTATGTCAACTTTTACAATTATTATATCTGTGTTAAGGCTGTAAAACCTCTCACCACACACTTTATACATTTTTCTCAGACAGGACAGTCAACCTTTTTTGCATCCTTCTTAAAACTTATTGCTGCTGTCACCCTTATGTTATTTTCGTCCTTTATTCAAATGAACCGAAGATTCATTTATTCAGTAATGGAGCCCTACAGCGCAGAGTCCTGCACAGTTCCAGTACAGCACCGCACCTGCCTATTAACCCGAGATTATATCAAAGTTTAGCGCTGCATACGCCATGGACTGAACCAAGACTAAACCAGGACTAACCCAGGACTAACCTAGGACTGACATTGTGGGTTTTTTTCGGGGAGAAAACTTGCAAACATACAGCACTTCAGAATCACACTGCTAGAGATCCAACATTTATGGAAATTTGTCAAGCTGAACGACATTCTGTACTCTACAGGAGACACGGCACAGAGGAGATTCATTGACCATGGGCTACAGTCCCTTAGCCAATCAGGACGCAGGGGGAGGAACACAATGCACGTTTATACACTGTAAAAAAATGCATGCAAAAATGCTCTTAAATAAATCCCTGAAACAGCGAGACCTTGAAAGGTGAACCACGATATAGCGAGGGACGACTTTAATTCCATACTATGAAACATTCCACACAAAGCAATAACATGTCCATGAAGAAAAGCATTTGACGAATCCTCCACCATAAAAGTTACACAACACACCTTTATATCAACAGTATCATTAAAAAAGCCTGATCTGCAACCAATAAATGTCAGAATGAACCAATAATTAAAGATAGAAATTATTTAGTCAGCCCTCTACAACTCAAATTTTATGTTATTGCATAAAAATGGCAAAATGTATGAAAAGAAAAAGTACCCACAATAAATACTGAGCTCCAAAATATATTGTTCCAGCTTTCATGTACTGAACCTTTACTCAATTTAGTAATTACAGTGACGGGCTCGTGTGCATAATGTTACAGTGTGTGGCGAACCTTTGGGCATGGTGATTTGGCATCCCAGGTCGTAGTCTTGGTGCAGGCGGTTGTAGGCTACTTCTTGGAGGCGGGCGCGTTCCAGCTCGGAGAGGCTCTGGATGCACACGGGGGCGAGGCGAACGCTCCGCCCAGACAGGCTGCTCCACGTGAAGTCTCCCTACAAGAAAATCATACAGGAATGTTAGATTTTACATAAGCAGTGTAACAGAATCAATAAAAGCAACGTTATTCAGTTTGAATCATTCTTTATGACTCAGCTGCAGCTAAAAGTGCAATCTTTGAAAAGGAGTGGGATCCAATTATTGTTTCTTAAATAGGACACTTATGTTCGAGCATTTGTTTTATTTTATCTGAGGAAAAAAAATTATTATGAAAAACTGGGTGAAGGCCTGGTCTGCCGAGGACACTGTTGATGTAAACCACCTATTTATTTGTGTCATAAAAAAAAAAAAAAAATCTTCATCATCATGAATCATAGACTGTATAAAGAAGTGGACTAAGGGAGTGTTACGTCACCATTCAGCTCCAGTCAAATGAAGCTCATCGAGGCTTATAGTTGTAGAAGCAAATTTGGAGTCATATTCTATATTAGCAATAGGAATTTATTTACAAAAAATAAAAAACAGGATAGCAGGTTAATACAAACAGAGAATTCAGTGTTTCCCACAGAAGACTCATTAGTCAAGGTGGTGACCAGGGAGGAGAATGCAGAGATACGGTGGCGGCGAAAGGTAAAGTAAGGACCGAGGTGCAATGACGGTAGTTTTGCGAGGATTCACGTGGTTCAGAGGGGCATAGTCAAGGCGGGGGGCAATTGTTGTCAAGGCGGACACCCTAACTACAGGAACTGCACTGCAGAGAACACTGGAATTGGAGCCAGAGTCGATGGAGCCGGAAGTGCACCCATACTCACTTCCTATTTGGAACGTGGCAGCTAGCAAATTATCTACAGGATGTTAATTTTTTTATACAGTCTATGGTTTGAATTTGCCTAACAGTCTTGTGAATTCTACCGTAATGATATTAATAGAAGCTTAAGTAAATTTTTTGGTTGAAGATTTGCAACTTTCTTGTTTCCATAGAGATGTTACTGCCTTGTTTAATGTTCCACAGTATGGCTTTAAACTTATTTATCTAAATGGAAACAAACAGAACACAACCTGGCCAAGCTGCAGGTCAGATCTGTGAAGATGCAACCCAGACCATAGTAAGAAAAAAAAATTGTCAAGGGTTTTTAAAGCAATAATAACACATTTAATGGAATAAATGCAAGATACATTTTAATGCCATACTGTGGAACATTCCAAAAAAGTACTTTCATTCCCATTGAAACAAAATACTGTGAAATACTTAAATACTTTTGCTGTTGGTAATACAGAGAAAGAACCTGGTCTGCTAACCCCAATATAGCCATAGAAGGTCACAAACCAATTTTATTTACATTCTGTTCTTGAACACTTTAGGCATGGCATCTGGCTTAAAACCTCCAACAAATCACCAAGCACTTTACAAAACATTAGAAGGCAAATTCAATCGCAAAATTCATCACCATAAAAACCTTTGACAAGGCAACTTTCTCTAACCACATCTGAAGGAATGTTTGCTTTTGGAAAAGTCAGACCTTGCATGGCCCTGATGTGCAGGATGTTAAGTTTACAGCCAGTGAACCTAAAATAAATATAATGTAACAGTGCAGCAATAGGGCTTCATTCAAAAGTATATGCACAATTAAGTCAATACTGTTTCTCGATGGAACAGGCAAGACTATTTTAAGGTCCTATATTACACAAAATGGATTCTTGTGACCTTTTAGTCATGTTATAATGTTGCAACTTCCTCATAAACATACCGAAAAATACTGATACTGACAATTTTATCATATAATTTTCATATTTTTGCAGGCCGAACGTGAACAGTACTTTGTAGGGATGTAACAATAACCAAAACATCATGATATCGTATCGTCAAATGTCTCACAATAATATCGTGGACTGTCACAATATAGGGAATAGTAAGTTCCTTTGCTTAAATGCATAGTTTTATAGTAGCAACAGCTTATAAACAGAGGGAACTACATATTCCATGATTCATTTCAGCACTAACAACATGAAGAAATATGTTTTTTACTTGAATTCTTGGGATTATGACGGTAAAAGTTCACACCAAAACCTTGTCAAGGTATTTCAAAAGCAAAAAAAGTGTTCCATCTACAATTATATCAGCCTCTTCAAAATATCGCAATAAATATCGGACGTACCGTGAGATGCATATCGTGATAATATCGTACTGAGAGATCTGGATGTCATTACATCCCTAGTACTTTGGTTTCAGTTTGTGACTTCCCTCATTCAATAGAAATATTTAGTTTTAATTTGTTATTTACTATGGCAACAGTCCCAATTACTCATCATTCTGAAACCCATAGATTTATATTTTCCATTCGTTGTAATATCTTGTTCATATCATTTTCATATCATATCCTGTTAATATCCAAATACCTAAAGTCTCAGTTTTAAGGGTCGATCATATAACATAAAACTGAGTTTTAAGTCATGTTATAATGTTGTTACCTCCTCAAAAACATACCTAAAGTTGAGTTTTGTTTCACTCACACATGTTGAGTAATCCTGGATTATTAGTCTGTCTACATCTCCAAAACTCAAAATGCTCCGTCCCACCTTGTGATGTCATGAAGCGGTAGTTTTCAAAATCTCTGCTTCCTTTTACCTTTAGTTCAGTATAGACTGGCAATTCCAGGGCTGAAATTATCAAAATGATTCTAGTCAAGGCATATGGAGTTTAAAAACAGAATGGAGCACTTCCTGTATTTCCACATGACATCACAAGGTGGAACAGAGTGTTTTGAGAGAACAACTCATCCTAAATATGCAGGGATTGTGTGTTAAACATGTGTGAATGAAACAAAAACAACATTATAACAGATCAGAAAATAGAGCAATATGGGCCCTTTAACATTCAAGTAACTTTAGTATATATAGACTCTCCTATATAGCTTCCATAAAGGACAAGGTCAAGGAGGTAGTAGACGCATTAACTCAACAAATATAGAGTGCACTATTCAGGGCAAATTGCATCATAATGAATAGCCCGATCTGGTCATGCATTCCTGGGCGTCTACGGCAAGCGGGAGAGGTCAAGAGGAGGGAGAGGTCAGGGAAAAGACAAGACACAGACGAAAAATAGAGACGTATTTTCAATTTGCGTAATGCCTCAACCAGACAGAGGGCTTACAAGTTGACTCCCAAGTGTGTGTTTACAGTGTGGATTTGGAGTCTGAAAAATGCTACGATTTGGGTCATAAATTCAAAATGTATCATAGGCACAGACATAGGAGTAATATACAACATGCAGGAACGATTTAAAGCGCAAATATTATGCTATTTTCTAATCTATGTTATAATGTTGTTACACCTGAAGTTGTGTTTTGTTTCATTCACACATGTTTAACACACAAACTCTGCATATTTAGGTTGAGTTTTTCTCTTAAACTGAAAATACTCTGTACCACCTTGATATCATGTGGTAAAACAGGAAGGGCTCCACTGTGTTTTTAAATTACGTACACTTTCAGACCTGGGATTTCCAATCTCTACTGAACAAAAAGTCAAAGGTAGCTGTTAAGATGAAATTTAAACTACCACTTAATGACATCACAAGGTGGAACAGAGCATTTTAAGCTTTGGAGATGTAGACAGCTAATAATAAACATGTGTGAATGAAACAAAACACAACTCCAGGTATGTTTTTGAGGTGGTAAAAGCAGTTTAACATGGTTTAAAGCTCACAAAAGTCAATTTTGCATAATATAGGACCTTAAAAAAATAATTAAAAATGCTATTTTATGTCAATGGACATAATGGACCGTTTGGTTGGAGTTAGTATTGCATTACATTTTGTTCACCAAAACAAATTATGTCTAGCCTGATTCATCAGCCGATTTCAGAATTAGAAATTTGTCTGCTAGACGGTAGGCGGGTACTTTTTTTATTTAACCAATCGCTGCTATTTGGCTGTGACGTAATGCGTCGCTAACGGGGCTAACTGATATATTAAGCTTTTCCAAAATCCCATAGGAAGAAGGGCAATAATGTATTTCCCCTTGATAAAATTCACCAAACATTCTCTTTGTTCTGGCTTTAAATCCTTGATCTCGGGAATCGTTGCCAACACAGAATACTATGGCTCTTTGCTAATTGGCTGGAACCCAGACTCACACTTCCGGGGATCTTGCAAACCGTCTAGTGTATTCTAATTCCTGATCTAGTCTCTGGAGAGAAATGAAATTGAGCAGAGGCACTAGGTGACACCACCCTGGCTAAATGATGTCTTCCTTTACTTACTATTTTTATCAATACATTCATTTATTAACTTGACAAATCGATCAACTAACCACCACACCAACAGAAAATATGCACGCGTTTCTGTTACATCCCTTCTTCCTGTTTTGTTGTTTTGATTTGAGTTGCTATGACGACAGTCCCACTGAGTCTGAAACATGTTAACAGCCTCAATATAAGAAGTGAGTAATGTAACTGTGAAACGCTGCCAAAAATTAAATAAAAATAATACCAGTAGACATTTCTAGATTGCTTCGGAATTTAAATCAACAAATTATATTGAATTTTCTAGATGTGATTTTGATTGTGTATACACTTGGGATCATTATCACATTTTTATCCATCGGTTGCCTTGGAAACAGCTCTGCAAACTCTATTAGACAAAGGCCATATTATCATTAACACCAAATATTTTAAGTATTATTTGTACAATAACAAGTCAACTGACGCTAGTGTTTATGTTGAGCTATCCAACACTTTACGGCCCCTTCTGACAATATTTTCTTAAAGTCTTTCATTCCAGTGTTGACATTTTTGACCCTATTGGAGGCCATAAGAGAACTGACACATCTTTTCAGTCACTGTTGTTTTGAAGGGCCCAAATTACGCTATTTTCTGATTGATGTTATAATGTTGTTTCCTCATTAAAAACAAACCTGGAGTTGTGTTTTGTTTCATTCACACGTTCACACTTTTCTCCTTGGAGATGGAAGTGCTTTCAGTAGAATGTTTTATGGCATTTAACCTTTGTAACTTCATGGAGACCAAACTAGGCCAAGTTACAGGTCAGATCTGTGTA